GTGTGACGGGCACCTTCAAGATGGTGTCTCCACTCCTCGAGCGCGCGTACTATTGCAAGCATCTCCTTGTCGTGGATCTCATAGTTGCGCTCGACAGGACTGAGTGACTTTGAGTAGAAGGCAATCGGGTGGTGTTTGCCATCCTCACGTTCCTGGGACAGGACTGCACCGGTTGCAAAATCTGACGAGTCAGCTTCAATTCGGAAAGGTCTGTCATCATCCGCGGAGACAAGCACCGGCGATGACGTGATTCAAGCCTTGACCTCATCGAACGCCATCTGCTCTGAGGGGCCCCACTGGAATTTCACGTCTGCCTTTGTCAAGTTGAACAATGGGCGCGCAATGGCCGAGAAGTCCTCGATGAAGCGTCGGTAGAAGTTCGCAAACCCCAGGAATGACTGTACCTCCTTCCGTGAGGTTGGGACTGGCCATTTCGCAACACCATCTACCTTGACCGGATCCATTTCCACTTGTCCTTCAGAGATGATCAGTCCAAGGTACTCGATGCGCTCTTTCTCAAACTCGCACTTCTCTGCACGCAGATAGAGCTTGTGCTGTCGGAGAATCTCCAGGACCCGACGGGTGACCTCACGATGCTGCTCTCGTGTTTTGGTATAGATCAGGATATCATCCATGTAAACACAGACGACTCCTTCGGCTATGAGGTCGCGGAAGATGTCATTCATCATGGTTTGGAAGGTCGCGGGTGAATTTGTGAGTCCAAAGAACATAACAAGTGGTTCGAAGAGACCTCGATTGGTCCGGAACGCTGCCTTCCATTCATCGCCCTCCTTGATGCGAAGATTATTGTAACCCCATCGTACGTCGAACTTGGTGAAATACTTTGCACCTCGAAGTTTATGGATGAGTTCTGGAATAAGAGGGAGTGGATAGCGATTTTTGATAGTCATTAGGTTAAGCTTGCGGTAGTCTTGAACAAGCCGAAGCGAACCGTCCTTCTTCTTAACAAAGAAGACTGGAGCTGCCATTGGTGATTTCGAGGGGCGTATACGTCCTGAAGCAAGGTTTTCTTCAATGAACTGGTCAAGCTCCACCTGCTCAGAGGGCGCGAGCGGATAGATCTTGCAGTTTACAGGCTCTGCACCTGGCACAAGCTCAATGGCATGGTCCCATGGCTTTGAGGCGGGTAGCTCGTCGAAAGAGTCCTTGGAGAAAACATCCTCAAAATCACAGAAGCGGTCTGGAACAGAGTCACGGAAGCTCGGCTTCGCAGAGTTCCTGGCAAAGGCCTCTGCCAGGCGTTGAGATGTTGTCTGCGTTGCACGAATGAATTCTGGGTCCACAACATTTGCAGCGAAGAGGCGCTCTCCATCTTCAAGTTCCGGAAGGTTGGATGTGGCTGCATCAATATGCTCCCCATGCTCATCGTCATCGCAGTCGGACTCCTGATCTGAGTCACAGTCCTCCAAGCTTGGCATAAGTCCTGCCCTGCATGTGGCACGGGCACGGGTTTCACGCCGGCGAATCTGACGCTCTGCCCTTTCGCGTTTTCGGCAGACAGTGCATGCCCGGGGGCAGCGGTTGAGCCGAACTGTCTGAGTCGTCCAGTCTACCTCAGGGTTGTGATTTCGCAGCCATGTATAGCCAAGGATAATGTCCTGCTTCCCTAAACTGGTGACGGCAAAGACGGCACGCTCTGCATGACTATCGTAGCGGAGTATAAGGTCGATCACGGAATGAATGGAGCCGGCCTCATTGGGTGTGCCATCAACGTTAAACACGGGTATGGCTTGAGACAGCTCGCGTGTGGCCCAACCGTTCTTGCGTACAAATTCTGCATCAATAAAAAGACCGGTCGCGCCACTATCGAGCAGAGCTTTGACCTGATAGGTCTTGTTGGTATCGGTGGTCTCGAGTTCAACCGGGAGTAGAAGGGAGTTTTGTGAGGCTGTGGCGGCAACGGTAAACGAGCGTGGTAGCTTCTTTTCCCAGTGTTTCAAACGGGGAAGCCTTTTTGGAATAGAGGGTGCAGAATCGGTTGGTAGTGTTGGAGAAACGACATGTATTGCGTCACAATCTACATGTTCGACTTCTAGTACCGAAAACCGATTGCGCAGGGGCAGGGAGTGCGCACCACCCCTCACCTGCCTTGCGTAAAATCCTCTTCGACAGCGGGAGCATCCGCAAGAACCATCTCTGGTGCTGCAGTGCCAGCCTGCAAGTCCTCCATGTCACGCTGTTGGGCGCGTGCCTGAAGCTCTTCTTCGAGTTCGTCAATGGTCAGGTGTCGAACATCGAAGCGGTTAGGACACTGTGCCTGTACGTGGCCAGGTCGCTTGCACTGGAAGCACACCACAGGGGTGTCACGACGCTGACGTGCAGCGTCAACATCCATGGGAATGCCCATCGGTAGAGGCTTCATATGGCTACTGCCTGTCGCAGGCGTGTGACTAACGTTTGTGGCAGTGGTGGTACTACGTGGGACCGTAGTTGTCATGGGAGAGAAAGTACGAAAGCCTGACGCGGGTGCCGTGGTACGTGTACTAGTGTTAGACGGTGACGCGGTTTGTGTCTTTGAGAAAACACCAAAGCGGAAGGCTTGGTTGGACTGACGATTGAGGTCGAGGCGTTCTGCTGCTGCTATCCACGCGCTGAGATCGTCCTCCTTAGGTACACCCGTAGCACTCTCCGCAATGCTGTTCTGGATCTCCGAAGACAGACCGCGGCGGAAGCGCATGACATTAGAGTATCCATCGCTTTCGTACCCTGCGTGATGGACGAGAAGTTGGAATCCGTCAACGTAATCGCGAACTGAGCCTTTGCCCTGATGATACTGCGTAGACTCGAGTTTATTGCGTGCTTCCATCGCTTCGTTCACGGGATAGAAGTCTTTGCGAAATTCCAAAAGGAACTTCGGCCAAGAAGCGTACGTTGCCTCGTCTTTCTGAAGGTTCTCGAGGTAACGATCGCGCCAGTAACCTGCGCGTCCCTCCTGCATGAATGACAGTACAAAGCCTATCCGTACACCTTCGTCCTCAAAGTCCTGACGTAAGAGGCCGAAGTAAACTTCACACGAGGTGAGGAAGTCACGCCCGTGATCGCGTGAGCCATTGAAGAGCTTAGGCTGAGCGGGACGGATACGTCTAGCCGGCGATGTTTCTGCTTTGGGTCGAGCAGCGTCCTGAACTGTCAATTCTGATATACGCTGCTGAATTTGGTCTAGTGTTGTCTGAAGATCTGTAATGCGAGCATCCGACGATTCTTTGTCGGTTGTGAGACTATGCTCTATGTGAGCAAGACGCGAAACGATATCGTCCATAGTTTTATGATGTGATAAATGCGAAGATAGATGTGGGAAATAGATGGACAGGGCTGGGGGCGTATTCTGCGACGTTAAACCGAGCGTGCGAGGCTCAAGGTACGTGAATCAGAATAGCTGGCGGCCAAAGAGAGATTTGTTCTTCTGTAAGGGCAACTCTGCGGTCTGGCACCACGTGCTTGACGGCTAGCAGAGGGGAATCCAAAGTATATATTAATATATGTAAGAGACAGATCAACTGCACTGCTTACCTAGCAGAGGGGAATCCAAAGAGAACAAATCTAAGGAATCCCCCTGCTAGACCTCCTCCTTATATATGTATGAAGTATGACGGTCAGCCTGCTGAGACCGTACTAAGAGAAACTAACAACCACTAGCCTAGCTGACAGGCTATAGTATGGTTGGTACGCTCTAGCTCTGCTAGTGTGCTTGGCTGTGACTAGTGCAACTAGTGCAGCTAGTGTGCTTAGCTGACAGCCCTAGCTGAGATCTGCTGGCCAGATCCCCTAAGAACAAGGATGGAAAGGTACGAAAGGGAAAAGGGGCTAAGAACGAAAACAGAAAGGTATGAAAGAGAAAAGGGGCCTATCATGTGATGCCTAGGGGTTCGAATAGGGGGTTCCCCTTACAGGATGATGTTAAGAGCGGAATGACTTGCAGACGCACACCGCAAGTTAAGCGACTGTTATTCAAAATATGATGAGTTGCCATACTATACCTGGGCAGCAAGTGAGTTTTACCATGCATTTCTCAGTCACCCTATTCATCAGTTTCAGTTCTCGATCCTCGAATTGGATACGAGCGCTTGCGTGAGGACTATGCGGACGACCCAGCACTCCTTGAGTATCTCGAGAACTCGAAAGAGGACCTCCATGCCACCTGTACATCCCAATTGTTATACCGTACTAGACCCAATGAATGGGTCGTACCACGCACCTAATTTGACGGCTTTAGGCCAAAAGTCCCTGCAGGCAATAATAATTGCCAAGTGTTGTGGTCCCGAATGTAGTAAGTCCCCACGAGTCAACAGAATTCCCACCCGCGCTGGGTGTTTCCCACACAGCCGCACATCGCCGCATATGGCCGCTGGCATCAGCACCGGCTAATAAACCCTCGTGCTCATTGTTGCGCACAACGAGCTCGATATCTAGGTCTCCCTGCCGCTACAGCTCCAAAGAAGACGTGATAAATTGTAATAAATTATATATACCTACATCAATACATATATAATGATTTTTGAGCAGTGACAAGCTCTTAAAATGCGATTTTCTGAATGCACCCAGTGTAAAACAAATTCCTATGAAGTTTTGACAGGTTTATATGTCCAGCAAGTAGTAATACATTGTACCAGAGGTACTCCAACAATGAGCACGAGGGTTTATTAGCCGGCGCTGATGCCGGCGGCCATATGCGGCGATGTGCGGCTGTGTGGGAAACACCCAGCGCGGGTGGGAATTCTGTTGACTCGTGGGGACTTACTACATTCGGGACCACAACACTTGGCAATTATTATCGCCTGCAGGGACTTTTGGCCTAAAGCCGTCAAATTAGGTGCGTGGTACGACCCATTCATTGGGTCTAGTACGATATAACAATTGGGATGTACAGGTGCTCCATGCATATTTCTTAAAGCATTACAGTCGGTCCAACGTGCAACGCCGTTCTGATGTCACCACATCAGCTCATTGCCCGCGCCTCGTCGCCCTGCTCACCTCAAAAGATGAAGTTCACCTCTCGGTATCAGGTCAAGGAGCGTGACAATCTTGATCAGTTTGTTGAGTTCCTCAAGCTCCCGCAAGAGAACTTTGACACTTGTGACCCGATCAAGTGGTGGGCCGGCCGCGAGTCTCTGTTTCCAGATCTTTTCCGGCTTGCGCGAGACATTTTCACCATACCCGGTAAGTGTTTTCTATTTCAGTGTGTGCTATTCTCACTTTTGAGCTTTATAGGTTCCGCTGTCGCTGTCGAGCGCATCTTCTCGGGCGGCCGAGATACCATTTCGATTCGTCGCGCTAGCCTGAAGCCAGACACTATCAGAACCTTAATGATAGTGAAGCAGCGCCTCAAGCTAGCTCGTGAGGCGGTCAAGGAGCTGCTAGGCAATGCATAAAAACAATATATTCCTCATATCACTCCGTACGTACCGTAACCTGCCGTACCGTACCCGTAAAGTAGACTGTACCGTACCGTCGAGCCTTTGATACTTATGTCATACGGGACGGTACCCTGCCGTACCGTACCCGTCAATAACCCGTAAATCTTACGGCCGTACCCGTAAACGGGTACGGTGCACAGCCCTATGTGGAATGGTGAATATGTGCAAATTCATCCAAAGGGAGCGCTGGCCTCATTACCTCAAGCTGTGGACGGCCTCCGCAAAGGCCATCTGGTCGAAATACCAGGTCATCTCGTCATTCCCATAAATCTTGGCCAGGACCCGGTTTCTCTGCTTCCCGATTCCGCGATCAAGCGCAAACTCAATGCTCGGGTCCAGAAGCGTCTATCGCCATCGTCATTTCCCACAACCCGCTCAATCTTGACGCCAATGAGTTCCGCATCTTAACGCTTTTAATGCTGATATACGTAGAAGGCCCCTGTTCCTCAAGAAAAGGTTCTACGTCGAAACACTGCGGGAGCCAACTTCGAGCCAACTTCGACCTTCCTCTGCTCAAGCTTTCGATGACCCTCAATGCACAATTTGTGCTCAACCACAGTCTCACCGACGCTCCTTCCGTGGTATGGTCCCTTATCCGAGCAGGGAGGACATGCTGTCGCTGCAAGTTACGGTAAGTACCTACCTTGGACTCTGCTATTCCGCAACCAACCGTCTTATGCTCAACATCGCTTTGCCAGTGATCGTACGGCTTGTATTCCAGCTGATTGAAGATACTTCGCGCGTCTCCTTCGCAAACGAACTCTCCACTACCCCAGACCAATCTGCACCAAGCATGTTGAATTGTCATCTCAAAACGCGATTCCTCTTCCCGCTCTGATACGAGCGTCGTCCGCATTCCCGTCCTGCATCCCCCGAGCGCGACTATCTATACCGATCGTCATTTTCGCGCTCGCGTCCCTTCCGATCATCTTCCAGCACGTTTCCTCGTATCGATTGCCCCGCCCTCGCTTCGTGCCTGGGTCTACTATCTCCTGTGCTCGCCTTTAACGGGGTGATGCAGGCGCTCGTCGCAGGGACATCCATGTCGTCAAGTAAAGCAGGTGCGTCTTTTTTCTCATTTATACTAGTTCCATCGGAACATTGACATGTAAATGCAGGTGGATGATGTTGTTCTCTGCGATCTGTATATCCACCGCCATCGCGCTCTATCAACTCGGCTACGGGGACGTATTGCTCGTGTACGCCAACATCGTCGACGCAGCGTTCTTCGCGTCCCACTACTTCCGTCGCCAAGCCGAACACCTCGCCTCCCAATGCGAGACCCCGCCGCGCCTGCTCAACAGGCACCTCATCCTCCCCGACGCACTTCGCGTCTGTTTACGTTGGCGCTGAACCAAGCCCTCATCCGGCGGCTGGCGTCGCCGCCATCCAATTCGAATTACTTCTCGGCACGATTCTCCTCCTCAATCGCAAGGGCGTCCGTCATGCTCTATTACGCACCCCCCAAGAGCGCAGAGAACACGGGCACAACACCACCTTCTCTAGGTGTCGCGTTGGCGAACCTCGCGTTGGTTCCACTGTTACTCAGCCTGCCATTGACGGTCATAGCTGCAGTCGGATACACAGCTTGCGCACCTACGGATATCAAGTTCAGCCTGGATTCCGGGGACGGTTACGATGTACGCGTTGGCTGTGTTGTTGGAGCTGGCTTGTGAGCCAGTGCATAATCGGTACGCCCATCGTGCTCTATACCCCGATTTTACGACTGATATGGTCTGTACTCTATACAGCTCCGTCATCGAGCTGAAAACTGCCGTGCGTGTCCGTGCCAAAGGCCTTGGAGTTGGCGCCAAGTCGCTCATGACCTTTCTCATCCTCTTTTATGACTCCAGACTGTCCACCAAACCGCCTGGTTACTTCGCCCTCTTTGCCTTCGCTGGCGGCCAGATGGCATATAGTATCGTGCTCTTTGTGACGGACGCGTACTCGTACCCAGACACCTTATCCCGATTTCGCTTGATGAAGTTATGGTGCGTTCGTCGCTTGATTTGGATGCATTCTAATGCTGATCCATCTCATAGAAATGCACCTGTAGCTCAAGAAAAGGCTCTTCGTCGAAACTCTGTGGGAGCCTACTTCGATCTTCCTCTCCTCAAGCTTTCGATGATTCTCAACGAGCAATTTGTTCTCAAGCACATTCTCACCGAAGGAGACAAAGTCGTCCTTTCGTGCTATAGCCCCATGGCTGAGCAGGGAGGGTATGCTCTCGCTGCAAATTACGGTGACATCAGCAATCCACGGTTTTTGGTCTTAGCTGGGGCCCGATTTTGCAGCGCTGCTTAGGAGTGCTTAGCGAGGGATTTGAGCGTTAGCTCTCGTTAGACAGGGGGTAACTACTTAGTGCTCGGGAGATATGGGGTAAAATGTTAGTCAACATCCTGCTCTAGAGATCATATTATGATTGGCTTGTGGCTTGCCTTCCAGTTTCGCCGTGGCTGACTGCGCACAAAAACGGCTGTCCTAGAGCGTGAGAATGAACACATATGTGGTTCGACTTTCGTTCAACTTGAACTTACTCCTCTGTCCTCGCCATATGTACTTCACCCCGACCTCCCTCACAGATACCTTAGCGGCCGCACTGGCTGGTGTCTGAAAGATGTTGATCTACGCCATGTATGTTCGTTCCACTCTCCGTGTTCACAGCTCTATGCTTTCCAGCCTTCGTCATTCCGCCGCAGGCGGGCTAGGGTTTACCCCATGAAAGCACGGTCCTCAAAGGCCTTGCAGGTGCGTTATCCACCCCTCGCTAATTTCAAACTCACTCAACGGGTCTTTTGGTAGCCTCCGTCACCCCATTGTCAGTGTCACCCCGTAAAACCAGCTGTCGACGAGGCCTACAAAGGCTACTCAAACTTCAGTACAGGCTGTCTGCGCATTTGCCTTGCGTCCACTTCAACATTCCCTGACTTTGTCCAACCAATGTGGCGCCGTCGGGCCTTTCTCATTCCTCCCGATACGAATTCGGCATGGACAGTTGTGGATACAGATCCTCGATATGCGTCACAGGCAATGTCGTCCTTGGTAAGTCCTATTCACGTTTGAATGGATTGTGTATGTTCGTTGTTGACCACGCAGTTGCAGGCGTACTCATCTCCTTTCGTGCGCTTTGATGGATTATGCTCTCGATGATGTCTGTACCAGTCATGTATCATAAGTAGCACGAAATCATAATAAATTTACTTCCTCGTTCCATACCTAACCAATCGGAGTGAGCAGTCACTAGTCACTATGGCTAGGAAAGCAGAACAAATGTAGCATCCAGTATGTCCGTCCTGTATTTCTTAGCTCTCGTTAGGGACTCCTTAGCTCGCTGCATACTCCAGTAGCCCTAAGGATGTGATAAAAAATTCAACGAGTGCTCAGGAGCACCCCACCTCGTCTAAGCGGCTAACAGGCTAAGAGGTGCTCGTTAGCCCTCGTTAGCTCTAACGTTTGCACCCTCGGATTGCTGATGGAGCATCTACCTCGAGCTCTGCTGCCGCACAGTCACCTGTCTTACACTGATCATCGCTTTACCAGGCTCTTTAATCGCCCGACTAGTTTTTCAACCTATCGAAGAAACTTCGCGTGTCTTCTTCGCAAAGACGCTCTCCGCGACCCCGGGCCAATCTGCGCCGAAGACCATCAAAGATGAATCGGCATCAGATGAGCAGCAAAACTCGATCTCTCTCCCTGCTCTCAAGCAAGCGGCGGCATTCCTGTCGAGCATCCTCCAAACGCAACTATTTCTTGCCATGCCGATCATCGCTTTTGGGCACGTGTACCTTCCGATCGTACTCTCCTTCCTCCTTCCTGCACGCTTCCTCGCAACGAGCGCCCCGCAACGCCTTTATGCCTGGGTATACTACCTTCCCGTCTTCGCCGTCAACGGGGTTCTGGAAGCCTTCGTGGCAGGGACAGCCACAGCCAGGGATGTCGTCAAATAATGCAGGTGTGTATGTTTTCTTGATTTACACTGATTGGAACAGGCTATTGACATACATATTCAGGTAGATGATGTTGTTCTCCGTGATCTACATATCCGCGGCCATCGCGCTCTATCAAATTGGCTACGGCGACGTATCCCTCGTGTACGCCAAAATCGTCGGACTCTCCATGCGGATCCTATATGTGGCGCTCTTCGCGTCCAACTACTTCCATCGTACTCTCACCTCCACCAGCTCGACTCGGCCACGCCTGCTCACCAGGCACAACATCCTCCCCGACGCCAGACTCCTGTTGACATGCGCCACCGCGCAAGGCATCGTCACGTACGGCCCGCGGCGGAGACGAATCGCCCAACGCGTCGCGGCTGTGATGCTCGGGCAGCAAAGCAAAATGTACTTGCTTTCTCAGCCTGTTGTGGTGCATGTCGGGTTGGGAGGGGTCCTGGCGTTGGCGTGTTTGGCGACGTGTAGGTGTGCTCAGGGAGGCATATGGAGATTTTGCGGATGCGGAGGGAGGAGAGGGAGGGGAACGAGAAAGCGCAATGATATTTATGGACTACGTTTCGGGATCGGATCCTGCTTTGTACGTCCGTGCTCGCTGTTCCCGGTTGATGCCATCTCTGAGGCCCTTTTTGACGGAACTTAGTGCTGATATTTTTTTGTAAATTATGGTATCCATGGACATCGATGACATCTTTAGAACAACTGAGTACGTCGTAAAACAGCGGCCGTCCAAACAGTTTGCGCACAAGTTGTGGTAGGTCTTGTGGGTACAGTCGTTCCAAACGAGGATGTACCGGAGATGTACGATACCATATTGATTCAACTTCCTTAGCGCAGCCTATTCACGAGCTGCGCGAATTGATGGAGCGCGGGACTTACGAGTTGCAGGGCTTTCTATCGGCTCTTGCGTTTCTCGTTCATGACCATGAAATTCCTCTGGCATTGATTGAGGGCAAAGAAATAATTTGCGTAGTCAAAAAAGTGTAGGTTTAGTCCATTGCTGCAATAAAGGAATATCGACTCACAGCTTGTAGATCGCCCATGATCTACAGAACATCTCCGTCACGTCCGTCGTCCAATGATGAAGCGGTCGACAAACACATCCCAAGTTTACCGGTACCTCATGCATGAAGGCTGCGTGTAAAGGGAAGTGCCGCTACTGTTATGTTCATGGGATGAACTCTGTTCACCTTCTTAGCCGCAGCGCGCTCTGCTAAACTTTCGCTGTCATTGGGGCATTGCGAAAAGAATGGCGAAAAGTACTCCGCTAAACTTTCGCTGTCATTGGGGCATTGCGAAAAGAATGGTGAAAAGTACTCACCTAAATGTACCACTCATGATGTTTCCAACATGATCACCCACCAAGCACGAAGACCAAGTACGGGGATCAAAACGCGCATGCAACCTGGTATGCTTAGTACAATAAAGTTGACTATGGCGAGATTATCACATAGGAGAATGAAGGTCTATAGCGGTCCGTTTGTACATTTAATCCCGCACTGCCGCGCTGCACTGAGATTTTGAACTGCGCTGCGCTGGGGTATGTGATAGCGCTGCACTGGGACAATTCAATGCGCTGCGCTGAGATAATTGAATGTGCGGTGCTGGAGGTGGATGCCGTGTTGTGCTGCGCGCTGAGAAGTCGTTGCTGTACTGCGCTGATCTGAGCTCTGTGACTGCACTGAGAGTGCTGATACACAATGTTATCAAGGGATTAAAGGCTTACCTCCGAGTTGATTCTTCAATTAACTACAAGTTTTCAAGCTTCAAGTCCAAGTCGGACTCGATTGGAGTCAGATTTGGACGTGCCTTGAACTTGATTGTCGGCCATACATGGGACTTGGGTATTTGTACGAGTTGATTACTTCATGGGGAGTGTATCTTAGGGTCTTCGTGTCTCAAAACATGGTCCAGTAAAGGCAGAGCGGAACAAAGAGAGTTGTAAGTGGAGTTGTAGGAAGGAATGATTGAACCCGAAACTTGTCGGAGCGGTTGGAGCAACGAAATCATAATAAATAATAGCAACGAAATGCCATGTACGGTAATGGATGAGAATGAAATTAAGTAAGGAGTGACTGATGGTGATTGGCATTAGTAGATATAAATTGAGGACGGGATGAGAACACTGGTCGAGACGGCGGTGGCAAAGGGATTGAGCTAAAGCGCTCACATGGCATTAAAACCATGGCTTGTAAGCGGGCATCGCAGGACGCGCAAAGCCCTTCTTGACGGAAGATGAAGCGACTGCAAGTTTCCTTTGTCCCAAAACCCTGTTTGACGAGCGGCTGGCCCAAGACGACGGTCCTGCTTCGCGAAGAGGAGACCCTGGCACGGAAAACAGGTAAAGACCTGATGGTGATGCAGCAAAGTTAGCAGGCTCACTTTTGACACGTTTTGGGGCAGGTGCATCATTCTCGCTTGCGTTGTCGACAGATAGCTGAGTGTTGCTTCGAGCACGCTTTGGGCCTATTAATCAAGGTTAGTAAATCGACATCCAAGTCATGGGTCGCTGACCGATGACTCACCTGCGATTGACTCCATAGGTACCTGCAGAGTATTGAGCTCGTCCGCTCCATCAGCAGGATCCACCCAATCCGCCATGTCCCTGACAGACTCATCAGCTTGGACATCGTCGTCATCGAGGTTCACATCGTCTGGCACACTAGGCTCGTCATCATCTGAAATTTCGATATATGCCGCGGCACGCGCCACACTGGACATCCTTGGACGTAGGCGCAATAGGACAGGAGGAATGTCGTCTTCATCCTTGGATTTATCGGAGTCGCTGCTTGAAGGGTGTGGTAAGAGGTGAAAGTTAACTCCAAACAAGACACGACAACTGACTAATCAGTGCTTGCAACAGACTTCGTCGCAGTAATATACCCGGAGCTGCAAATTTAAAGTCCGCTGGCATCCACCGGCCCGCACAGGCTCCCACCGTTGTTCAGTGAACTTCTCCATGATTTCGATGGACATCCTACTGGTGGGTGGTGGATATCGCTGGAGTACAACACAGAGCACCATATCAGAGTGACATTCAGTGAGTTCCAGTGTATCATAGTGCAGAATATTATTTTTCTTCTAAGTTCACTCAGTTTACTGTTGTCCATTGGAATCCACCAACATTCAATGAACCACAGCAGCCAGTCATACTGTACTGTACTGTAGTCCACTGGACAATGGTGAATCTCAATGGAGTTCACTCACGTACAATGCATGTTCGTAGTTGGATTCCAGTGTACAATAATGGAATCCGCTGTTGTACAGTGAAACTTGAAACTGTATCTCACTGGCATCCACCGGGATACAATGTACTGCAGTAGAATTTGTAACTGTATTTCACTGGCATCCACCGGAATACAATGTACTCCAGTAGAATTTGAAATCGTACTTCAGTGACCTCCAGTGGATTTCACTAGCACCCACTAGCATCCGCCGAAACTGAGTGGACGAAGTCCACTCTCCGTCGCTGGATTCCATTGAACCCTAGTGGTATTTGATGAACTTTGAATAGATTTTGGATAGTAAACCATGTAATACAGGGCTACATATTTACCCAAAAGTCCTCTGGAATATGCTGATTCTTTTTATCTATCCGCTCTTCGACTGCCTCCTTGTAGAGCATAAACAGCACATGAACATAGAAGTCATAATTGACATCCGTCATTTGCCGTAGTTGAGCTTCAAACCCATCCATCCATGAGTTCAACTGCTCTGCGGTCTCCGTATTGAATGCTCGGGTTGTGTGCTTATTACCGTTTGCGTCTTCTTGCATAATCAGCAAATCGGGCTGAGAGCCATTTGCTGGAGCTGGATTACACCAAATGCGACACAAAACATTACTTGCCTAGATCAACAGGATCAATGAACAGCTAGCATAATCAGAAAAACTTCACTTACCTGGTGACCAATATAATGCCACGCATCGACAATGAACTTGGTGGACTTGAGCCAGGGGTCCCCAGCATTTTGAGTGACAATATGGCGGAGAAGATTGCAGGCATTATCGTATGCGATGAAGCCAGGCCTGGAGCCATGAAAGTCCTCCCAGATTGCATTCAGAATTGAAAGAACCTGAGAGGGGCTTTCTGACCGATAACACTTTCCCCATCCGATGGGAATACCACAAGCCCACTGAACTGTTTGAAGACAGTATATCGAGCGAGCCCGAAAGGTGTGCACCACATCTTCAGCTGCTACCTCACCAAGGGAAGGAAGCTGCACTTCCAGAGATGGCCCGGAAGGGCGGCGACCTGCATCGTTCTGCTCCTTCTGACGGCGGATAACTCGGCGAACACCAGGGTACGAAAGTCTCGAAAAGCGGGTCTCGTACTTCTGATGCCATTCCATGTGGGCAGGCAGATCGCATGTGAGGGCACCAGCAGTACGAACAGGACGGCCGCATGGAATGATACCACAAATATTGACCATGTGAAGATGATCACTACAAAAGCGCCCATTCTTGTAGTTCACCAGTGGCTTGCAGCATTCACTGATGGCGCAGGTCTGTTTCCCCAAAGCATGGCGCGGAATGTGCTGTGCACTGAAGAGCTGCCGCTATCCAAGCAAGGCAAGGGCGCCCGCCATGTGTCATATCTTAATCAGTCGAACGTCCGCTCGGCTGTCGAGCAATGGATTAAAGGTGTTATACCTGTCGACAAAGGAGGATTTGAAGGCTGGGTGCGTCGCTTTGTTCTATTCCCCATATTGCACGCCCACTAAGTTCTTTTACTCTGTTCATCAGATGCGACCTGCAAAGCTTTCACGCTTTGTTAATCAGTTTCTATTCCCGTTGCTGAGGATTGAGGACACGGTTAGTGAGTCAACTGCCGTGCAATGGTTGAAGAGACTTGGATTCCGGCTCTGCCGTGTCCAAAAAGGGGTTTATGTTGATGGCCACGAACGTGACGACGTTGTTGCCGCACGTAAGGAGTTTATCGATTATATTTATACGCAGATTCTCCCGTGAGTGATGAACAATGATCTGTTGCCATTAGAGCTTTACTAAATTGTCTCACTCAGGAAATGTTATACTTATGACGGACCAGACATGGCTCCTGTAGCGCCGTCATTACAAACCGGCGAAAAGATTCATTACCCAATTTTTCATGACGAGACTTGTGTGCATGCAAATGACCAGGTTAATTTCGTATGGATGCGGGATGGTGAACAAACTCTTCGAGACAAGAGCCGTGGACGCATAGTCCATGTCTCCGATTATATTATTGAACATTGCGGGCGCCTTTGTCTATCCAAGGATGAGATTGCAGCTCAGCTCAAGCTTCCAGAGTGCCCGCATCCACCGCAGCAGCCTGTCTTGCCAATTTCTGCAGCACCATCAACCCCTGCTCCCGCTGCACCATCAGCACTGGCTCCCGGCGCACCTCCAGCTAGTGCAGCGGCCGAGCGGCCCGTCACCGCGCCAGCTGTTCACGGCACATCGGAGAAGGAACTTCCTGTTGCTGCAACAGCAACCGCAAAAACAAAAGGGAAAAAGACAAAGACAACGAAGGCCAAGGCAACGAAGAAACCGAAGCCTCCAGTAGTCAAGAAGCCAGTGGGAGGTCGCACGTTTGCAGAGCACGAGTGGATCCCGCCGCCGCCCCCTGCGCCCTTTACTGGGTATCGGCTTGAAAGCTTTGCTCGCCGAATCATTTACCCAGGCGCCAAACATGACCTGTGGTGGGATATGCCTCAATTAATCACACAGGTAGGTAACTTTTGATCTGAGGTCTGCAATTGCTAAAGTACGAGTGACGGGACTACTAGACTAAGGATGCAATCAAAATCTTCGAGGCAAAATTCCCTGACGGCATTGCGGTATTTATTTTTGATTGTTCCTCAGCCCATGCCGTGTTTGCATCCGACGCGCTTCTGGCCCACAAGATGAATCGTAGCCCAGGTGGGAAGCAACCCAAAATGCGGTCCACTGTTATACCGTTGAACGGGCAGTCGCAATCAATGGTTTTTTCTGACGACTACAAGGGGAAAGACAAGGATGGAAATCCGCTTGCTGGACAGGCAAAGGGCATGGAACAAGTACTTCTTGAGCGTCGCCTTCTTGAGCCTCTCACACAGAAGTATGGTAATAAATTGGTCGGTGTATGCAAGACGTGCCGATCTTCCCAGGAAGCGCGGGATAAAGCGCTGCAAGAAGCCAAGGCCAAAGAAGACGAGATCGAGGGCTCGGGCATGGCAGCGTTGAATGAGCGAGGTGTGTCGGACACAGAGGAGGAGGATATTGCACGGCCCGGTGACTGCTGCATGCAACGAGTTCTGTCATTGCAAAAGGACTTTCAGACGGAGAAACCATTGCTCCAGCTGGTCATCGAGAAGGCTGGGCACAAGTGTCTCTTCCTTCCGAAGTTTCATTGTGAGCTCAACCCGATCAAGATGGTTTGGGGTCAGCTCAAGCGACGTAAGTTTTCAAAGTAGTATATCATTGAATTTGCTAACATGACTTGCAGGATTCCGCGAGATGACTGATGGTACATTCCCGCGTGCTAAACAACTTGTGCCGGAATGTCTGGATGTCATCACGAAGTCAAACATTCGTCGGTATTTCCGGCATTGCTGGAGAAACATGGATGCTTACAAGTGAGTAGTAAAGGGCCGTAAATCAAATAAGGTGCTAATGAAAACACTAGAAAAGGACTTAATGTGAAGCAGGCTGCATACGCAGTCAAGAAATACACCTCCCATCGTCGTATTCCGGCCACGGTAATGATGGATGTCAATATTATTACACGCGGGACGATTGCCTGACGTAGTCAGGGTCCTATTACCATATACGGAACCCTAATATTATGTAATAGGGTTTGTTTCACTTTTACGAGGCCAAGAAATGAAAAAGTTGTCCGATGGACTTGAAAAGCACAACACAACTAGCTATAGCTTTCCTTACTCTATTCCAAGTGTTTTTATCACTTTTCATTGCTTTGGGTAAATGCTATTCAAGTTGCGGCATTTTAAAATCTCACCTGCCAAATTCGGGTCGAGAGGTGGTGACAGGCACTGTAGCGGCATGGAAAATCGCGCCAGGGAATCAAGTTGCTGACGGGCGCCCAGTGAAACATGCGACTCCCGTGCGTAGCGTGCGTAACACCTTGTCTTGGGCAGGCACGGCTCGCGCTCCGCCTCTACTTCGTCAACCACCGTCCGGGCGATTGAAGATGATTTAGATGCACAGTGGTTGGACCGCGAGGGATGATGGTTCAGACAGCACGCGTCTCGCGATGTTCCGAGCGTGGCGAGCGTGATCCGCTTGACTAATGAGAGTACGACACGTACACAAGATGTGATTCCAGGTGATCGGAGCGATGTATTCTGGCGACAGTCATTACGCGTTTGCGGGGAGAAGCTCTGCGGTTGTGTCACTGTGCGCACGCTATTGAAGTAAGGCGCCTGTGGGGGACTGCAGCGTGCCATCATTCCGATCGTATCGAACAACAAGTTGAAAACCCAAAGGCAGCGGTCTGAAGTATGCATCGACACGGAGGGGTGACCTCACGCGTTTTCGACCCAGCCTTTCGTGACCGAGCCTGGGGCTTCTGGAGAGCGCTCATGGTAAGTACGTGCGTTCGAGAAGCAGTATGACAATTTGGACTCACGAAGTTGCGTTTAAGGCCACCGTTAACGGCTTTGGAAGGATTGAGTAGTTGCAAGCGCGCGCAACGAGCTGCTGCAAGGAGGCATGCGTGAAGTTTTGACCCGCGCCCGAC